GCTGCAGGGCTGTGCGTGGGTGGGAGGCCCTGCAGGGGCTGTGCAGGGTTAAGCCGTGCCACACACGTGGCAGTAAGGGCACCTTCCTCCGCACACAGAAGACAAGTGACTGATGTGGGGCCTGCACCCTGCCCCAGCCAGGCACCCGCTCTGGAGGAGCCGGCTCTTGAGGAGACCATGTCCCACACCAGCTCCTGCCAGCGTCGCTCGCACAAGCCTCTCTGATATCCCTCTATCCTGTGCTCCCAAGCACCCTCTGCTCTCCAGGTCCCTTCCTCCACACTTGCCTCCAGTGCAGGTTTAATTTCTTCCCAGTCCATGGAAACCGCAACAGAAGCAGCTGTTGACTGCCAGGAGCAGCAAGTTGCACCTAGGTCTTTCACAGTTGGGCTGGACCCACAAAAACAACATTATTACAAGCTCAGCAGCTGCGCTGGGCCTGCCAGGAGCACGGGTTGGTCTCTGGCATTGCCCCAACACCAGTCTTCCCATCCAGTAGCGATGCCTGTGGGTGATTCAACCAGAAGACTGCTTACTTTCCTGAGACTACAGCAGCTTCTCTTCTGCTCCTGCACTGCAGTCTCATTGCTGAACCCTTTCTGCAGCCAAGGCAAGGATGGACAGGTTGTGAGCACATGTACGAATCTCTTCAGTGAAGCCCTCTCGTCCTCCTCTGGCTGCAAACCAGAGTCCTTTCTTTATCCAAACCTTCCCTGGACAAAGATGAAGAGCTTCTTCAGACTCCTTCTCTGACCTAAGGCTTGAGATGGATGTTGTAGATCAAAAAGCCTTAAGACAAGTTTTCTGAAGCCTGGAACAATGTGTTCAACCATGGCAGCACCCTTCCTTCCAGTAAGGAAAACCCAAAAGCTCCAGATTTATTTCCAAACCAGCTTCCTTCTCAAACTTTTTCGGGATGAGCACAGCCCACTCCAAGGGAACAGTCAACTACTCTGTGGTGTGCTCTGAACCCTGCTCCAGAGGCCTCAACGCCAGCTCCAACCATAGCTCTGGTTCCACAGCTCATGGCAGCCCTTGTGTGTCCAGAGTTTGAGGACTCTCGGGGATGTTCAGAGTATCTGGATACTTGAGTATGTCCTCCAGGAAAGAAGAGAGCTTCTGGAGCTTTGGAGGTCAGCGGGCTGGCAGGACAGAGTGTGCACCAAGGCAGAAGCCGAGTGTAAGAAGTGATGATCACGGGAACAGTCTGGCCATAGAGCAACCTTGGCTTCCCAAGAGATCATTTACTATCACCCTTTCCCTCCACCACCAACACATCTGCTCTAGGAACAGGAGCATTTGGGAAGGCCGTTCTCACTGTGGCCTACACAAGGGAGAGCAAGCTGGTAGCAAGGAAAGAAACTACGGGATGGAGCAAAGACTGCTCCTGCCAGCACGGCCTATAATCTCGGTGGAGCCCAGGCCGGGCAGAAGGCACCCTTCAAGGTCACAGAACCACAGAGTCATCGAGGTTGGAAGAGACCTCTAAGATCATCAAGTACAACCATCAACCCAACCCCACCATGCCCACTGAACCACGTCCTGAAGTGCCACATCCATGTGCTTCTTGAACACCTCCAGGGATGGGGACTCCACCACTGCCCTGGGCAGCCTCTTCCAGTGCTTGTCCACTCTTTCAGTAAAGATTTTTTTTTCCCTAATATCCAATCTAACCGTCCCCTGGCACAACTTGAGGCCATTTCCTCTTGTCCCATCACTGGTTACATGGAAGAAGAGACCAACATCCACCTCTCTACCCCCTCCTTTCAGGGAGTTGTAGAGAGCGGTAAGGTCTCCCCTCAGTCTCCTTTTCTCCAAACTAAACCATTCCAACTATCTCAGCCGCTCCTCATAATTCTTGTGCTCCAGACCCTTCACCAGCTCTGTTGCCCATCTCTGGACATGCTTCAGTGCCTCAATGTCCTTCTTGTAGTAAGGGGCCCAAAACTGAACACAAATGTCCCTGCCATCTTTCTTTGCTCCTCAGGGAGACCCAGCTCACCTGAGAGGACTGCACGAGCCTCACGATGAGGAGGGGAGAATGAGTGAATCTGAGACACTGAGACCACACACTGGGTTGCTTTGTCACCCAAAGCTGAAGAGACTCCAGCACATCCCGGCCCAGTATTCTGGTCCTCCAGCAGAAGTGAGGACTGAGGGATGGAGGGGAGGGTAGAGACACACGTAGCTGAGGGTGATGAGACAACCCAGCCTCAGTGGGTCTGAAGCCCATGGACACCAAGAGACTTTCTGACTGGGCATGATGAGAGCTCCAAGCTCTGCAGATGTGCTGTCTTCCCGTCATCTTGGGACTAGAGATTCCTCATGGTGACCATAGGCCAGGAGAGTTCCCACATATCAGCTGCCGAGTCTCAGCCACTAATGTCTGAAGAGAAATCACTGGTGAGGCCACCTTGGCACCTGCATCCCAGTGCAGCCCCAGCATTCCAAGGGTCCCCAGAAGGTGCAGGGGAAGACTCTGAATCAAGAGACATGTGCGCACCTCACTTCTGCTGTTTCTGCCCACCAGCTTCTAAATACTGGCACGCAGCAGGTCCCTGCAGAGCCCAAGCTTTCCTGAAGGTGCCTGGATCCCTGCTGAAGTCCGAAGCTGTGCCCAAGCCCTCACTCACCCCAATGCTGCCTCTCGGGGACATGTGCTCCAGACAGCGCAGGGCCAGGCTCCAGATGCGACGCTGGCAACTTTGGCACTGACCAAGGGAGACGACAGGGTGGGATAAGCCTCGATGCTGCTCCTGCTCCGCGGTCCTCCCTGGGGCACTTGGGCAGGACGTGCACTGCTGGGCACCATGCTGCAGAGCAGCTGGGTCCAACCCTGCCAGAACCAAGCCTCAAAGACCAGTTTTCTCTTTCTCAGTGCTATCTTCTCTTGGATGTCCTGGGAAACAACCACCGCCATGTGAGATAAGCACTGCATGCCCACCTTCCTCACCCACATAGAAGAGCACATACATCAGTTACGTCAAGCATTAGCCTTTAAACATCTGCTAACGTGTTATGATTGAGTCGTACCCATAGCTGAGGCTTTGTCTCCACAGAGAGTAAGTAGAGATGTTTGATTAGCAGTTATGAGGTATTCTTAGTGGTTCCAAAACTGAAACACTGAATTGCACATTTCAGGCACTGCACAAGGACATTGAAGACAGCATGACCCTGCTTTGCAGAGGTAGAAACCCAAATTTCTGATGCCTCCAGAGGCCCTATTGCCTGGGCCTAGGGAAACATAACTGCTGAAGACAGCATGCAGCTGCCTGCCTGCTTGACGTGGAGAAGACGTCCCCAGAGAGCCTGGGCCATAGGGTCAGCACTGCCCTCTCACCCCCACAGTCAGCCCTGGGGGTGCACAGCAGGGCTTCCCTGGAAGGGCTCGCTCAGGACTCTGTCTTACAGCCCAGAAGAAAGAGCCAGGGCAGCAGATTTCACCAACAGCCCTGGTGAGAGATCCTGCCCATGCCTGGGGAGGGGACCAACCCAGTGACCCACCAAATGGCTCAAGATCTGCTCAGAGGGCAGGAGCCACCTCGGCAGGTGCAAACGGTGAGAGCGAAGGAGGGGAGAGAAGGAGGATGGTGACAACCTCAGGAGAGGAGACAAGGCTTTTCTGCGTGAAAGACTCCATGCTTAGGGAAGCTCCGTGCTCAGATGCAAAATCGTCTGGGGTGTCCTCTTCCATCGTCTGTGCCAGCATGGCAACCCCAGCACCAACAGGGAAAG